GTAAACCAGGAAGAGATTTTTAGAACTTGTTTACTTTAAATCCTTCTTATTGCCTTGGGACTTTTTAATATCAGTATTAGTGGGATAGTTTCCAGTTTGAAAGCAGCGTCTCAGCTAAAGACTAAGGTAACCAGACAACATTTAAATTCTTATTTACTTCCTACTTTTGTTACTTATTTTCTTTTCACCTCTGGGCCAGGGAGGAAGAAGAAATCAGAACAGGGGATGGGGGCAGCTAGAGACGGGTGTGCTGTGAGGCAGCCCTGGTTACACAGCAAAAGGAAGCTGACATTTATTGACCCTCTACCACGTGCCAGGCGCCCCTGGACGTTTTGACCTGTGGAAGCAGGTGCTTTCCTTTTATCATCGTCATCTAATAACGCTTGTATAGTGTGGTGAATTCAGACAGGACAAAAGTTAGAATCTTAGAAGTAAATGTCCTTCATAGTGACTGTAAGAAGATCTAAAAATGACTCTTGGCCATAAGGACAATTGTGAAAACTTAAAATATTTTAAGCCAGTGAGAACAAATTCAGCCAAAATAAAATTGACTTTTTATAGTTCATTAAAGTTATATTTATTACCTCTTTATAATATTGGGTAGTATTATAGTAGAACAGCTAGTATCTTAGATATTTTCTAGGCTAGCAGTGCTGTGCAAGAGAAATAATTCGTCACATATGTAATTTAAAATTTTCTAGTAGCCACATTAAAAAAGCAAAGACAAACAGGTTGATTAATTTTAACTGTATATTTTATTTAACCCAGTTATCCAAAATATTATGTCAACATGGTAATCCATATAGAATTATTAGACATAGTGTGCATCTATTTTTAATATGAAACCTTCAAAATCCAGTATGTATTTTACATGTACAGCACATCTCCATTCAGATGCTAACTTTTCGTCAGAAATGCTTGATCTGTATTTAGTCATAAAAATTGCAGTTAAAAATGTAGATTCCAAACACTATTAAAAATTTTCCAAGAAATGAATAAAGTACCAAAAAACCCCATTTTCTTTAATACTTGGCATCTGTTTTGACAAGACTGACTCATCTTTTTTAGAATAATTGAGCCCAAAGCAAAAGCATATCAGTCTGAAAACTGTATCTAATTTAAGTAAATCCACTAACTCTTGTAACCACTCAGTATTATCAACATCAAATTCAAAGGACCATTATATAAACTGAAAATCGACTCCAAATTTGTCCGTATCAACAAAGCATTCTTCAATTTTTCTTATAGATTTTGCAGACAACTTACATAATGCCATCGTATTTAAAATCTTCTGTATATTTGTTCACATTGAAATGTGTAAAGTCATTATTGATTTGTATTATGAATAGTTTAAATTTTAACATAAATTCTCATACCTGTCTAGCTAGGTCACAAGCAAGCTTTTATTCTCTCCTTGGATCTTTAAATTTAGCTCATTCATGTGCACTGTGATATAGGTGAAAAAATGTAAATCATGCTGTGATGTTTTCTCTTTGTTCAGAATTGGCAGGTGTTCCTTTTGTTTCAAGAAAATCTTGAATTAGAGTTAACAGTACAGTAAACCTTTGTAAAATTCTTCCATGACTCAAGCAGTGAACATTGGCAAAGAACATGTAGTCATATTCATTATCTTCCATTTCTTTTAACAGTTCCATAAACTGGTGATGAGTCAGAGCATTTGCACATGTATACTGAACAATTTTAATAACTGCATCCATGATACAGTCTACTTTAGAGCATAGATATTTTCAATATGTTAATATGCAGTGGATCAAATAAGGGAAATAATTCCATTAAATCCGGGTTTTTGATCCCACGTAGCAGGTCCTTGTCTGTCTTGATAGAAACTTTTTCCTGTCTAGCTGAAAGTGACAGGTAAAAGATTAAAAAATATTTACAACATGCGGTTGATTGTTTTTAAGGTTGCAAATAGATGAAGACATTTCAATTTGGAAGTCATTTGAAACAAAACGTACCCAGAGTATTAACTGGCCATCGTCTCTTGTAAAACTCATCTAAAGCGAAAAGTAAAAGAACTTACAATTTTCAAATGTTGAATGAGTTGATCTTGAATAATGTTAGAAAGGTCTTTTATTCACTAACAGTTGCTTGGTGGATCAACTGAAGATCTTTCACTTTTTGTAAAATATCCTTTTTGATCTTTATCTCAAATTCTAAAACATAACTCCCTTAACTGAAATAATAATTTAATGTTTCATCTCTCCATCTAAAAATGGTTTTCTTTCTTGAGCAAGAATTCAAGCTATTTTAAAGCTTGCCAGAATTACAAGCTCAAATCCTTAAAATCACTAAGAAACTTCTTTGTTATACATTTCATTCTGGTTTCATTGATTGTGACAAATTTCATTGATTATTTTTTGACTGTAGAGAAGCAACTTATATTATTATGCATTTGCTGAAAATGACTCAATATTGTCTACTTTATTATCTTAAAACTTTTTTTACACAGCTTATTAATTTGGCTCTGCTGTATTAAATCATAATTGCCATTATTTATAAAATTTGTGATACACCTTTTCCATTCGATTCTGCCTCATTAGTGTGCCTACGTTGTCAATTACACATTTGTGTGTAATCTTTTTTTAAAAGTTCCAAACTTCATTTGGAAGTTAAAATTTTTTTTCATTGTTAGTTTTTAACCCAGAAAAATAATTTATTTATATTAATTATTAAAATAAGTATTTCAGTTTAACTACCAATTACTATTTACATAGGTATCACTGTAACTCCTGCTGTCTGCAGAAAATATTCAAACAAGCACATTACAGCGCTTCATTATTGCATAGAAAAATAACTGAAACCTTCTGTTGACATAAACTAGACTGGTGATATGCTTATGTGTGATCCTAGAAATGACATGTGCACCCACACTGTGCACTGCAGTACATCTTATATGATGTCATAATAAAAGTGAAATATAGTTTTACCCAAACCATAAAGTATTTAATGGAAATATATTTTATACTGCTTTAGTTAAATAAAATTTTATATCAATTAAAATTTTAAAAGATTAAAATGCATTTCCTCAGTTGCGTTAGTCACATTAGAACAGCTCTGGAGTCTAGAGAAACTTATTCACTTTAATAATGAACATTCAAAGAGATGAAGCAACTAGACCCAGTTAAGTCAGCTTAGTTCAGAATGGAGCAAGGCCGTAAATGAATCTGTATTTCGATATATGAAAACGTTCCTTTAACAAATGTTAAAGGCTGAATTCATGTCACACCAAAAAGAATTACTTTAATAAGAAAAAACAGTTATTACATATAATCTGAAACAATTTGTTTCTTTAAACAAAGCAACCTTTTTTTTTTTTGTAGAAGCTAAGGGGTTTACTTTTCAATGAGATATTCTTGCAGCATGTAAATACATGAAAGATGATCTGAATTTGCTTTTAGACTTCATTCCCCAGATGAACACTAGCATTTGGAGTTATTTTTGTTTTGAACACTGGGTATTCTTTTAACCAAAATACATGCATATATTTATGCAAACATAGAATGAAAATGTAAGCAGGAATTAGAGTAACAATACAATTTCATTCTTTAGTGAATGCCTGAGGTTCATGGAGGAACCAAGTGCCTTAAACCCAGATTTGCAGAGTAGACCTTACCCTCTTAACATTTATGCTGACGGGAAGCAAGGAATTAAACCTTTTCACTAATTTAATTCCTTTATGTCTTTGTCGTAAAACTGATAAGGAATTATTTTCCTGCCATTGCTGGTACTTTGATCATAGAGAAACGGTCTAGGATGTAAAAGGTAGCTTTTGCTATTTGTAGAAACGTTAGGGATTGACCACGGGAGCTTGGAGCATACGTTAGAGACTCTTGATTGACAACACAGGCAGTCAGTTAATGCGGAGGGGCATGTTAAATAATTACATATATATTTTACTTAAAGTTTTCAAAAGCACTCACATTTTGAATTCTGTGAATAAGAGACAGAAGCCATGTTTTGTGTGTAATCCTTTTTTTAAAAAACTACTTTCCCCCATCCTATTCACAATTTTTTTATAGACTGGTTTCAGGTATGTAAGAAATGTTTTTTGGATTCTGCTAGAGATGACCTAATTTTTACTAATTGCTATGCAGTCAAAATTTTTGTTTGCTCAGAATGGCAGTGTTATTGTCATTATTCTTTGGTAGTTATAATAAGTGGTTTTGTACAAAGCTGCAGTTCAAAAGAATATTTTGCTACTAGCTTGTAAGTTGTTTTTATTAAAATCGGCCTTATTCTAGGAAGAAAATTGAATGCTAATGTACAAGTTAAAGTTTATTATGTGTGATTCCTTATATTATTTGCTTATTGACTCGCTAAAACACACACACACAATATCAGTTTTAAGGAACATCTTAAATGTCTTTCTTCAAAGCGGTTATCGGTTTCCTGAAAGATGTAGCCACTGTTTTTGTTTTCTAACACCTTGGAATGAAAAGATTCATTCTTCTCAACCATCTGAATTCAGTTTATTTAAATTAAATTATGTGTGAAATATATGGCTTTTAGTTTTTTTATTCAAATATCCCTACAGGTTAATTACTTTTTTCCTGCTTTCCTCTTAAATCTCTCCTGCCTGCAAACTCCCCATTAATTTGAGTTGGGAAGGATCACATTAAAGATTTAGGCTTCGTGCTACATGAACAGAATTGGTGCTTTGTATTTCATTTTCCATGTATTATGTACCATTGAAAAGAATATAACACATGTAGTAGCGTATTTCATTTTTGAAAGAGGAATTGAAGAGCTTTTGAATAAAAATGTGTAAAGAAACTGGTGTTCATTGCCTACGTGGCTTTTTATAAAGGACTCTTGAAAAGCATTCCACTGTGGATTCCAAGTCCTCTTTAAACTCACCACTGACAGTAACTGCCTGCAGAGGCATGTGATCATCTTGGCAGTGGCCAGGCCTTTTAGTGATTTCATTACTGTGGTTTCCTCAAGCTCTTTACACACATTGATTAATATTTTCCTTGCAGTTATCGCTGTGATGATTTTGTGATTAATGACACCAAGCTGGGACTGGTACAGAAAGTCAGAGAACACTTACAGAACTTGGAAAAGTAAGTAATAGGCCTTGGGAAAGAAGGGATGGAGTGGGGTTGAGGGGTCTTTCAGCATTTCTGAGTGGGATTTTTGTTTATGAGTTCCATAACTTCATCACGTTTTTAGTGTGATTGAAATGTGAACAAAGTAAACTTTGGAGTTGGGTATCTGAAAATGCCCATAGTCAGTGATCATAGCTCAGCATTTATTTTGTTTAATATTTGTCATAAACCATATGCAAGGGCTCCAGAGCCTGTTTTTTAGTTATTATCCACCAACTTATAAGCTCCTCAGCTTATTTGCAAGGGGAATTTTGGTAGTGCAAGGGAAGGGCAAAAAATGATACAAGATCATTATAGAGTTACCTTTGATATTAGAAAATCCTTATCCAAATGTATTATGAGGTCTTCTTAGAAACTCTGAAATTTATGTATCAAGGGAAAATAGGTTTAATTATATTGTTCAGCGTGCATCTATGTGATAGCACAAGATCCTAGTTTCTTTTCCTTTTTTTGTTAGGGGCAGTATTTATCACTTGGAAGTATAGGAAGCTGTGAAATGCTTTGTCATCATAAAGAAATTAAACTGCTTAAGTGAATAGAATTATTTTTTGCTATAGCCAAATAGGTTAGTCAGATAAAGCTCACTAGACCCAAAATTCAAGCAGTAAACAGAACCCCAGTAGCAATGTCTTTTGAAGCTGCAGTGGATAGAAGCATGGCCCTGGAATGGTCGCTGACTCAGGTGAAATTTGTGTAAATCACCCCTAATTGTCAGGTGCCATCTAATTTATTTATTTTTTGTTGTTTTTTAAAAAATCTTTATTGGAGTATAATTGCTTTACAACATCTTATTTATTTTGACAGTCGATGTATAAAAATGGTATTGTGAGAACATGCCACAAGTGAGAGTCCTTTAGCAAACTTACATGTGAAACCAACAGAGTATTTTAAAATTGAGTGCTGAGAGGGAATAACCTAAGTTCTTTGAGTGAAACACTGTCTAGCTTTGGTTAACCAAAGTCTCTGTGCATGTCTCTGTCTAAATAGACTATAAGCTGATAAGGGAAGAATCGATTTCTTTGAAATCTAAGCTAATTAGAACAGTCTGGGTTTAAGTGCACTTTGGCTTGTCATCTTGGGGCTCCTCACTTTTTCAAAGCGCCTCCTCCCTTTTAATTTGAACAGAGCAGCAGGAGCATATCTAGGGTTAGAGACACAGGTATAGACACACAGATCTAGAATATTGAATTTGGTCTGAAATAATCACAATTAACTGTGAAGTAGGAGATTCCTGCAGTAATTTATGTAAATATCACTCTTTGGTGTCGTGATGTCATTGTAAAGATCTTACTAACTTGATTCTTTGTTATAGAAGTAGGTAGCTACCAAATTATTTCTTCCTGCCACTTATAGTTTTCTCTAAGAAAAGACTATCATCTCAATGACAAATAAATTCATCAGAACTAAGTCAAAGGGAAAACCGGAAGTTCAAGAACATGCATGCGTTTATGCAGATAATGAATCTTTTATTTCCATTTATTTCTTCGTCAGGTAAAAGATGTCACAGACTGCCTTGTCTACACTTCTCCTTGGTCCCACTGAAAAAGCTACTTTGCGGTCCTTTTTCTATGTCGATAAACATTACCTAAATTTATTTTTATTTTTTCAAACATAGCCTTTACTCTGTAATGGAAGCTACAATGAAAGAACTATGATTACATTTGAGTTTTACTTTAGACTGTTTAGCGTATCCTCTGGAGAAGCACTGCGCACCAGAAACGTTGTATTAATCTACACTGTGCAGTATGGTAGCCACTAGACACACGTGACTATTGAGCACTTGAAAATTAGCTAGTGTGACGAGGAACTGAATTTTACATTTTTAAGTTTAATTAATTTAAATTTATTAGCCACATGTTGTGAGCAGCTACCGTATTAAATAGCGTGGATCTAAAGGATTCTGCCATTTTGAGAATCATTGATGGTAAAATTTAATAACATATTTTTAAAAGGCTAAATGCTTTTTTTTGTATAGGTTAAAACCAAAAGTTAACTGTTAGGCATTGTCACAGTACATACACTGTGCTTGTGAGTGAACTTCTTTACTTACAGAATTTGTGAAGGAATAACTTAACATCGTAGTACATATGGGATTATCTCTTCTTACCTTGTAGTCACCAGTACACTGAGAGGGACATACATTTCTGAAGACATTTTTCCTAAGAATATTTTTAGATTTGAAACAGCTGACTGTCACTAGATCTGATGCTCTGAAGACAGTTCATGTGGAAATTTTGGAAAGAAGAATAATTATGTATTTTCTTTGGATTAACCTGGTACTTTTGGAAGATGGGAAAGAGTTGGTAGACTTAAAAAGTCTATGTTGTTTAATAGTAACTTTCACTTCCTTTAGATTAGTTCCCCTGATACATAATAATTTTAAAGTGAAGATAGGAATTATTTCCTCTGAAGATAGGAATTATTTTCTAACAAATTTCAAACTTAATATCTCTTTCAATGAGAAACATTTAGATAATTTAAATTCAGAATTTATGTGCTAATTAGAATTTGTTTTAGAATATGCTTTGTAGCAGAGCTGAATCAAATGAATTGATATATGCCTATGCGTCTGTAATTTATTTATCATTCTGCAAACTCAGATTATATCATCATCTATTACAACATACTAACAAAACATGATACCTTTATCAAAATTAAGAAAGAAGTGGCGTAGAATTTGAGACTTAATGTTAAATCTCAGAATAATCATGTCAGACCAGTGTTTTTCTTTTTTACGAGTAGTGGGTGTTCTCTTGTTTGAAGCTTCACCATTGATTAGGTAGATAGAGCGGTGGAGGAGAGGGACTGTCCATCAGACCACATCCACTTGGCCAGCGTTTCTGGGAAGCGCCCGGCGGGTGGCAGCTTCCAGTCCCACCCTGCTGGAGGAGCAGTGGGGATTTCCAGGGGAAGTGGAACTCCTCAGTTACTTGAAATACTTGTGGGCCACAGTGGCCTAACGGGTCACTTCCTGGCCTGGCTAAGCAGCCAGGCAGGGCTCCATACCCTAGGTACTTAGAACAGCCATGTTTATTTACTCTCTCTTGCTGTGTAGTGTTGTGTATGTATGAACATCTGTTTGACTGTCTGTTTGTGCTTTAATAGCTCAGCTTTCACAGCTGACAGGCATAGGAAAAGAAAACTTTTGGAAAACTCATCACTGAACAGCAAGTTACTAAAAGTAAATGTAAGTAATTAAAAGGTATTCAAATATAAGAATTGGTTGAGATCTAGTCACTGTTTGATTACAGTTCTAACATTAATGTTGCCCTTTATAAACTTTTATAAATGTATGCCTTGGATTTGGAATATTTTACAAAATGTTTGCCACTTGTACTAATGATTCTTGACGTGACTAAATACCCCAGCGAGTCTGTCTGTCAGTGCCTTCCTTCCGTCAGGATGACCACCGTGCTCCTCTGCCTTAGGAGGCATTTGTTCTTAACGCCTACTCATGTACCTTATTACTCCATCTCTGTAGGATCCCAAAGATCCTTGCTTCCTTCTGTTAAAGGTTCCTAGTGCAAATTCTATGGGTCTGGGGCTTCCCTGGTGGCACAGTGGTTAAGAATCCCCCTGCCAATGCAGGGGGCATGGGTTCGAGCCCTGGTCCGGGAAGATCCCACATGCGGCGGAGCAACTAAGCCCGTGCGCCACAACTACAAGCCTGTGCTCTAGAGCCTGTGAGCCACAACTACTGAGCCTGTGTGCCACAACTAGTGAAGCCCGTGCACCTAGAGCCCATGCTCTGCAACAAGAGAAGTCACTGCAATGAGAAGCCCGTGCACCTCAACTAGAGAAGGCCCGCACGTAGCAACAAAGACCCAACACAGCCAAAAAATAAATAAAATAAAAATCTTAAAAAAAAAAAATGCTTTGGGTCTGAAGTTTTGGTAAGTTTTTTCCTTAGGGCCTTCATTAATACAATTTCACCATAAAAGAATATGCTTCCTCATTCTGATACCCATCTCTTACCAAATGTATGGCCATTAATGGAGTAACAAAGTTTAAAGATGACTAAATATTGTAAAATATACCAGTAATTTTGTCCTGCATCTACCTCTCTGCTGTCATGCTAGCTGTGTTTAGACACACAATTAAGTATTACAATTTCGTGGAAGAAAGAGCTAAAGTGATGCTTCGGGTTAGACGGGTAGATTCACTAACCATGTGTAGTACTCAGACATCACAGTGCATTTGTACAGCTAATCAAAAAACAAAGCCTTAGTCTTTAAGGGAAGTTCAGGTAGTTTTTTCAGATTGATATTCCATTGCTAGGAAAACATGTATTGGTCATTTGCATGGCTTAGAGTTAAAAGCTGGGGGACAGAAATACTTGGCATGTTTATATTTTTTCCAATTTGTAGTAGCTTTAATAGAGTCTTATGACGGCGTTAAGTCTTAAACTTATTTAAGGATCTTCCTGGTTTTTGCATTGTGTACTCCACAATGCAAATTATTAATTATTAATTATTATTAATTATTAATGGTGACTTCCTCATAAGCTTCCATTTAGAACAGTCCTAGGATCAGAAACAGCCTTCTAAAAATATCCAGACACGTTTACAGAGAGTAGAAAGAGAATTTGAAATATTTGTTGGACTGAAAAGTATCAATTCCGAACTGGCTTGTTGCTAGAGTTTCAAATATAGGCCTTTGTTCTTCTTTGATGTTGAAACAGTTGGCCTTCTCTTGGTATTACTGAAGGCCACCTCTTGTTCCATTTTACAGGGAAGCACCACTGCCATTTGTGCCACAGGCCTTCGGAATTTGGGGAACACGTGTTTCATGAACGCCATCCTTCAGTCACTCAGGTACTGTTACAGTCACAGCTTAAGTATCTGACGTTAGTTTCTGGTGGAATGGGTAAGAGCAAAGGCTCTGGGTTCAGATCCTGTCTCTGCCACTAACTCTAGCCTAGTAACTTGGGGCAAGTTACCTCAGTTCCCTGTGCCTTAGTTTTCTCATCAGTGAAATTGGGGATAATAGTCTACCTCATGGGGTAGTCGGGAAGATACTATATAATTTACATAAAGTGCTTAGAACAGTGCCTAGCAGTAAATAACTGTTAGCTGTTATTATTTAGTTCCTGTTCCTTCTTGAATAGGCTTGAGCACAGGCCAGCAAACTTCTGTAAAAGGCCAGATTAAATAAATATTTTTAACCTTTGCATGCCACATCCAGGCCTTCTCACACATCTTCTCCTCCCTTCAACACCCCTCTCCCTTTTAAACAAGTCTTTAAAAATACAAAACTCACTTTAAAAATGTAAAAGCTCACTGGCCCAGGGTCAGATTTGTCCTGTGGGCCATAGTTTGCAGACCCCTGGGCTATAAGGAACCTTGTTCAGATAACTTAGTTCAATCATTAGTTGAGTCTTAAGTATGGTCATAAGATCAGATGTTTAGAAGATCTTCAAAATGTAAGGTGAGCAGGGACTTCCCTGGCGGTACAGCGGTTGACTCTGTGCTTCCACGGCAGGGGGCTCGGGTTTGATTCCTGGTCAGGGAACTAAGATCCCACATGCTGCATGGCCGAAAAAAGAGTAAGATGAGCAGGAAAAATAAAATAGACAACAAGGCTGACCTAAGTTATACAGAAGAAATTATTTAGAAAGTTGCATACTTTTAGATTTTAATGTGGTATCAAAGACCACAGTAAATTATTTTCCCAAGGCCACCTTGCTAATGAGGAACAGAAGCCATGTGTGATTTCTCCTTAAAGGTACTGGCTCTCAGCTTATCTAGTCTTGCTCAAAGAAGAAATTCTAGTCACTACCGAATTCTCCTTGTTACTCTGTATAGTGTATTTAAACAATATGGTTGGTTTCAAGGCTTTTATTTGAGGAAATTATTGAAAACTTGGGAACAAAGGCTGAAAACTTGGGAACAAAGGCCCTGAAAAGAAAGAAATGGTGACAGGCTATAGATGGGAAGGGGGAAGGATTTCTGGAACAGAGATTTTGCTTTAAGGTCTTTGTTTACTTTTGCAAAGTCATCTACTTATATTCCCTTTTAAAAAAATATTTATTTATTTGGTTGTTCTGGGCCTTAGTTGTGGCAGGCAGGCTCCTTAGTTGTGGCTCCAGGGCTCCTAAGTTGTGGCATGCAAACTCTTAGTTGCAGCTTGCATGTGGGATCTAGTTCCCTGACCAGGGATTGAACCCAGGCCCCCTGCATTGGGAGTGCAGAGTCTTACTCACTGTGCCACCAGGGAAGTCCCCCTTGTATTGTTTTCTTGGAGTAAATGAGGAAGCTTAATGAAGAAATGCAATGTTAAGAGATTGCATTGAGTATCATTTGAATGAGAAATTGAAATATCACATTTTCAAAATCCATATACTGTATAGGTCTCATAGTGCTTTCTTTACTTCTTAGTACATTTAAAAACTAATAATTTTTTCCCCTTCCTTTTAAAATAGTAACATTGAGCAGTTTTGCTGTTATTTCAAAGAGCTGCCTGCTGTGGAGTTAAGGAATGGGAAGACAGCGGGAAGGCGAACGTACCATACCAGGAGCCAGGGGGACAACAACGTGTGAGTCTAAGAATATGTCCTTTCTGGCTTTGAGCTACAGAGTTAATAGGCACGTGCATTAAAAAAAAAAAAAAGCACCAAAACAACTCTCAATTGTGTTTAAGTATCTAGCTATCAATCTTAATAATTGTTAGAATTCTTTTATTTCTATTTACCTAGTAGGCAGGACAAATGTAGCACTCCGCTTGTTGAGTCTGTGGATTTGGGCATTCTAAAATTGACATCTATGAAGAAAACACAGTTCTAGGTATAGACCGGTGTGAATATCATTAGTCTCTGTGAATTGATTTGTCTGATAGGGTTAGGTAGACCTGTCTTGGATAATTACATTAATTTGTAGTTATCAAATTAATTAAGAGCAGTACTGTCAATTTTTAGCTGATATGGAAGGTTGACAAGTGATTATTGAGAACCAAACCAATATATATTCAAATTCAGTGCAGCCACGTTCTCTTTGGGGTTCAGAAAGATTTATCATATTATCATGACCGTAAGGGGTATCTTAACATTACTGAAATAGGGCTACGATTTATCATCTGTATGTATTTTAATGTAATGTTTTCCCTGCCTGCCCATCCCTGCTCCCACACACCCCATCCCCACACATTCTGAAAAGCCGTCTTATAATCCGACAGTGTTCTGCCTAGATGCCTGAGGGAGAATAGGATAGGCCGTGTTAGAATAGTGTGTAGTGTGGAGTACCAGGCGTTGGAGCAGGGATGGAATGATATCACTAGAAGTGGTGTTTTAGAGTTTACTTTGGTAGCAGCATATAGGATGAGCTGGAACGTGCCTGCATTCAAGGAGGCTTTTCACTTTATAGTAATTGGTTAGAGGGAATAGCTGTGAAATGAAGAGGAAAAAATACACGTGCACAAAAGTTAAGGGAAGAATTAGTAGTACTTGATGCATTAGTGTCATTTAGGGTTTAGTTACGAATTATAGAAATTGCCGCTGGCCATTTTAGGCAGAAAAGGAATTTACTGAAAGTCTGTTGGTGAGCTTGCCATTACCGGATGCGGGGGAAATCAGGTCTGGAGTCTAGGCATCCATAAGGGTGTCCCATCAGGACCGCTGTCCACGCTGCACCGAAGTTCCCATTGCCAGCACTGCTGGAGTTGGGTGCTGGGTCGATGCTGCTGTTACTGCTCTGCCCCTGCACTCCTGACTGTGCTCTTTGCCACCAGAAACAGTCTGGCACTGTTCCAGCTTCAAATAGGCATACCCAGGCCGTGTACCTGAGTGCTGGCTTCAAGGGGGAGCGGGTGGGGGCTGAGAGAGCAAGTACCTGGCCTTTTCAGCTTCCACAGTAGGAGGCAGGCTTTGACTCTTAAGGTGGGGTTCCTCAAACATAGGATGAGGGTTCAGGTACTAGGAAGTAAAAAATATGATTTGTATTTGAAGAACCTACTGGATAACAGGGGTTGAGAAAGAAGATAGTGAGATTCTCTGTGATATCAACCAGGTATCCATGAGTATGGTAGCTGTATTGACACATACAGTCATTGAAGTTGAGGAGGTGTATAAGCTTACCTACATGCATAGAAGACCAAAACTAACGGTGACTTAAACATCCGTGGTTTATCTTCTCACGTAAAAGTTGGAGGTTATCCATCTAGGTTTGTTTCACACAATCACTGGGCTCCTCTGGCTTTCTGTCCCACCAGCCCGCATCATCCACAATGGTGCTGGCGCACCACCGTTTCGTCCTCATTCTAGCTGGAAGGCAGAAGGAAGGGGTGAATAAGAAGGACCACTCTTTCTCTTTAAGGGAATTTGTCAGAAGTTGGGCACACTCAAATTTTTTTTTATTCCAGGCAGCTCATGTGCCAAGAAAAAAATGGAAGTTGTATTCCTGTGAGAGAAGGGGCGATTGGAGACTGAGGGGCCGTAGGGAGAGTACAGAGAGCAGGTTTAGGACACAGTGAGTTAGAAGAGACAAGAGGGCAGCCAGTAGAAAATTCCTGTTGGAACCTGGAGACAACTGAATAAAAGTGGTCATGAGAAAAATCTGGAGTTTAGATTTGGATTTGAGAGTCATTGGTATAGAGGTGAGCGTTGAAGCTTTGTGGCCAGATGAACTCTGCGGCAGAGAGGAGCAGTCACGCATCGAGGTCTGGGGAGTGCGCTCCTAGAGAGTGGCAGGAAGGAGAAAGGCACGAGCTGGAGAAAGAGATTCTGTTACTTGTTTCATGGATTTTTTGGAAACACTTCATTCTTAGGTAATTTGATTTGTAACTTATCCATTGCTTTATTTTACAAGTATGGCAGTACTTTGGCATACTCAGAGTTCACCATATAGTTAAAAAACTAGTTTTGTCTGTAATCACTGCTATTTGTATGGGTTCTGAGATGCTGTACTTAGCTGTCAGGTTGAATTCAGAAGAGACCAAACTCTTTTTATGTTTTCATTTTTTATTTGTGGATTTTAGACAGTTTGGCATTATGTATTGAAATAGCAGCCTCTCTCACTAATGCTGAGGGTCTCATCATCCCCTGCTCTTTTCTAGGTCTTTGGTGGAAGAGTTTAGAAAGACACTCTGTGCATTATGGCAAGGTAGCCAGACTGCATTTAGCCCAGAGTCCCTATTTTATGTTGTTTGGAAGATTATGCCGAATTTTAGGTAAGTATTATTTAATGAAGGATATTTAAAACATTAATATTAGTCTTTACACTGTTCCTGGAACAATTTCCAACAGAGTGGTGGTATTCTCAATAATGAAACCAGTGTTTTGTTTTTTAAGGAGAACAGAAGTTGGATATATCCTACTAGACAAATGTGTTTAAATAATAGACCTTAGAAAAATCTTTAACAAAAGGCAGGGCATTTTGTTGTTATAAAAACAGAGCCCTTATAAATAACTTACGTGCTCTAGGAAAACATACTGGACAAAATTTCCTTGATTTTTTCAAAATCTTATACAGAGTAATTATCATCATACACTGTCCTGTTATTTCAGCTAAAAAAAAAAAAAAATCCAAATGTGATCAGTAGAAAACCATGGTATCGTATTCACTGTTCTGGTCTGGGTTCTGAAGACCTTACAAGACTGTAGTTAAGTCCATTGGGCTTCATTCGCTTTCCAGAAGGTAACACAATTAACACATCATCTCCTAATGTGGTTATAGAGTCACAGCGTTTCCCGTGTTCTTTATCTGGTCTCGCTTGAGTGGGGAAACAGCCCTGCTGTCAGAGACATCTCCCTCTTCTCCTAAGCTAGTCCTCCCCGTAGGTAACAGCAGATCTGAAGCACTACGGGTGCTTGACAGCAGCCTTCACCACCTTCTGCTGATTTTATCTTTCTGAAGCACATCATGGTTCTTACTAGTCATGATTTTGGCACCTTGTACAGCCCTCTCTTTCTTTTTTAACACCAGCATGCTCTGGTAAAACTCAGCAATACATCTTGCTTTACTGTCTCAGAGTGGTTTAGATATATTGGTAGTATGGAGAAATGTCTAAAGGGTAACAGCTTCAAAGGACTATAATTTGTTGCCTTGCCAAAGAGTCTAGCCTTGAGGATCAGACGTAATTGACTATTGTTAACCCTGGTCTTTGTTTTGAAGGAAATTTCTTTTATATTTCATGTTATTTAAATCTCTCCTGAGAAGGAGAGAATCATTTTGTAAGAATTTTAGAATTTCCTGACTCTAAATAGGAAAGGTAGAAATGATTAAGTTACTGCTAATCACGTCTGGACTTGATATAAAATTTCTAACAATCACCTACTTAGACTCTTGATGGGGATTTAATCTTTGTGTTTGGTTATTATATAAAAATTGCTTCCATTTGTTGAATGCCTATTATGTGTCGAGCACTTTAGGTATTTTATATCTGACCTTCATTAAGAAACACAACAAAATTCCCATCAGGGTAAGAAGTGTTAGCCCCATCTGAAAGAAGACGGAACTGAGACAGAGGAGAGTAGTTTGTTCAGTTTTATACATCTAGTATGTGTTGGGACCAGAATTAGAACCCAGGTCTTCGTGGTGTTGGTCAGATAGACGTGTTAACAGTAATTTGTCCACGTGCCCCAGTGAGGCCCACCAACCACCTTTATACTCTTCTACTTGGTTCCCATGGTGACTCAGTTCCCTCTTCATCTAATAGAATTCTACTTTTCATCTAAATCTGCCCGTATCTCTGTTCTTTCTGGTTTCTTAGCCCAGCTGTGAGCATGATTTAGTTTTTAGCTGCTTAATTTTACTCATTCTATTATTCCTACCAGTGAAGGGAAAGAACTTTTGGAATAGGTAACCAGGTTGAGAAATTCGGATGGCGTTTCCGGAGTGATTCCTATTACATATGAACTCTTAGATTTCCTTAGAGACTGATCAGAATAGGATGTCTGTGTGTTCTTAGCAGGGCTTTCTCTTCGTTCTGTAGTAATTCAGATTGTTCCTCACTTTCATGTAATCAGAGAATAATTTTCTCTTGGTTAGCTCTAGATCTTGAGATTATATCATGAATAAAGTTTTAGTGCAGGGTCACTGCACAGTGCCCAGGTGTGAGGTAGGGTTTTCTTCTCGTAATTGTTACTCCTATTACGTGTACAGGGTAAAAGTTCTTATAACATGCCGAAGTGGAAATGCAATGGGGTCTTGAATTATGTTTGTATTTATAATCCCAAAGTAAAATTTTTTAAAGTTTAGAAAGCCCATTTTCCTTGATTAACATGTGACAGTATCTAGGGAGTGTGATACCTTGGAATAAAATAAGAGGAGCCTGGGGAGTTCCCCGGTGACCTAGTGATTAGGATCCCGGGCTGTGGCCTGGGTTCAATCCCTGGTCGGGGAACTGAGATCCCGTAAGCTGCGCGGCATGGCCAAAGGGGGAAAAAAGTGAGGAGCCTGAAATACAATCATGCATGTAGAAGTAGGAACAACTTTCCTCTATTAAATAAATAAATAAATGCAGGAAAAAAAAGTACCCTAAATGTAATCAACAGCTTTGGACATAGAGATCATCAGAGCTATTCTTTCTCTTTTCCCACCCAAACCAAAAGCCAGTCACTTAGCAGGGAAACTGTTCCTGAGTTTGAACTTCCCAGCAGACATATACCTACTTGCCACACTTCTTATGGCTTCCTAGCATGCCTAGCTTTTCCTGTCCTTTCTTTTTTCTTTTTTGCGGTACGCGGGCCTCTCACTGTTGTGGCCTCTCCTGCCGTGGAGCACAGGCTCTGGATGTGCAGGCTCAGCCTTCCATACCTGTAAAAATGTAGGCAGTATTCTTTCCTATCGATAATTTTATGAATGTACTTTAGATATCATTGCTGGATTTATCTACATAAACCTCTGTTACCTTCCAACTATACCAGCTTAATTTTTTGTCAGATTTCATTACTGTTCACTTGTCATTGATCTGTATTAGTAGAAGAATTCCATAGAATTTCCTGACTGAATATAGTATAAGAAGTAACCTCAGAATATGTTGCTGTATATATTAAAGTTTTAGGCTAGAGCATAATTATAAGTCAATGCGTTTTAAAGTTTTTATTTATTTAAAAAATCTCTTGAACCAGAGATTAGGATGCAAGTACAGAATGCTATACATCTTTAACTCTTTAGATAAAGTTTTTCTTCCTTTCAGCCAGTGTTTAAAAATTAGTATCTTTCAGTCTAAAGATTTAGTTTTAAATTCCTTATTTCTTATAATGGTGGTTTAGACCTAGTTTTCTGGTGCAGGTTAAGATGTGAAATTTTAACATTTGAGCATCTTCTAGAGAGGCCGTGTGGGAAATGGGAAGATTCACAGTCCATCCAGGAGACATGTTACTCTCCTGTTGCAGGACTTCAGGCAGGTCCCACAACCCCTTTTTTGCCCCTCAGTTTTCCTCTTAAGTGAGGTCAGTTGAGATCACTAGAAGTCCAGTTAGCTCTACTACTCTGTGTTTTCAGACTTGTTTTTCAGTAGTGGAATTCTGTCTGGAAGGTGCTTTCACATGTAAAACAAGGAGGAAGTGAGGAGGAAGAATCAGGGCGCCTCCCTGTGCTCTGAGCGCAGGGCTGTGGCCCTTCTCAACACTTTGCCCTCCTGCCTGTTTGGCTGGGCAGGCGGAGCCCCACAGTGACTGTTTCTGTTTGCTTCAAGGGGCTATCAGCAGCAGGACGCTCATGAGTTCATGCGCTACCTGTTAGACCACCTGCACTTGGAACTCCAGGGCGGTTTCAACGGTATTTCCCGCTCATCAATTCTGCAAGAGAATTCTACTCTGTCTGCAAGTAACAAATGTTGCATGTAAGATTTAGTTTCCTTTTGTTTTCTGGGAAGACCTCAGATTGCTACTGGTGTTATTGTTTATTAGATTTATAATGGAAGGTGGGAAGTTTTCTGGACCTTTGCTGAAACTTTTGTGCACTTGAACTTTCTGACCAAGGGGACTAGCTAGCACATGCCTCCTGCTTCCAGATCGAAGGCATCTTGTACTTGCATCCAGGTGTAGTTCTAATCGTTATTTGCTATAGATTATTTTTAAACTTGAAAAAATAGAAAACATTTGTACAATTTAACACTTAAAAATTTTCCTCCAACTGTATTGAATAATGTATGGGAGACAGTTTTCATATACTAAAATAATTGCATTTGTTCACTAATAACAGGCTTAAAATATTTTGAATGTGAATTTTTCTAAAGCCTCACTTGGACTTAAATTTTCCAAAAATATGTCTGTTCTTTAATCAAATTGAGGCATTCGTAACTTTTCAGAATTTTTTTTTTTGCCTCTCAGTATGAACAAAACAAACCTTTTGGGTTGCTTTCCCAGGTACTGATACCCCAAAATACACATTGAGAGCAGAATGTTTATTTTGCTGAGGGAGAGAAAATTGACTTTGATTTCAGCTTGGATCTTGGTTAGTTGTCTCCTTTTGTTCAAATTTTGGGAAAAGTTTCATATTGACCTATGCAGGAAAGGGATTATAAGACGAACTCCCCAAAGAAAGAAGAAAAGAGTAAGTTATATATAGGGTTTGCTGTAGTATATTGCCTGACAGTTCGTAAATCAGATTTTGTGTAAGATAAGGTCTTTTTAATGACAGAGCAGTCGCACAGCCAATCTGACTGTATCAGAGATGGGCAATCAGTATGAATTGCCATACTTTTTTAAATGTTTGAACCTAGGTCCTAGGAGCTATGGTTCAAATTAGAATCCAGTACAGAAAGGGAAGGACCTGTGATCTGGTAGAAATGTTCTTGCTGCTAGCACCCAATCAAACATAGTATTAAATGAAAAATTCTGTTTTGTATTTTAGGATGATATATTCATACACAAAGCATATTGAGCTGGGCTCTATGAAGGATAGTCTGTGCGAAGCGAGAGGATATATGTCTTTATTATTTTATTTGATGCCCAGGGCACCCTTAGGGAATCACATTGTGTGATATAAGATGTTCTTTTAGTAACTAATGAGTTTTCAGTATTAATCCATACCCTTTCATGATATTTTAAATAATAGTAATTTTAAGTTCCAGTAGTGAGTTAGGAACATAAAAAAATTACTAAGTATTCAAAACTCAGGCTCCTTTATATTCCCTTAAATTCACTGGAGGATGCATTTCAGGATGTAAGGATCATATTTGCTGAAACTACAAAAAAAAAAGGTCTCCTGTACTTGTATTTATTCGTATAAACACACTAAACCCTACTGAAGGTGGGGGTGAGGATGGTAGAAATAAATGGCGGATGTGTTCTTTTTAACACATAGAAAATCATGAGTGCCAATATAAAGGAACTTTGCAGCATAATAGCCTGTCCAAGTAGCCAATATTTAAACTCTCTCGTTGTGTAGTTATGAGAAATGGAACAGTGATTTTGAAATAATTCGTGAATCTTGTTTTAAGTCATTGTATAATGACTAAGCTTAATGCCATACACATCAGAGAGCCAAGAATTCATTAGTATCTTTTTCTCAGAGGAAGAAATTATAAAGGAAGAAAGTACATTGAGTTTAAATGTACTGCTTTTTAATAAAGCAGTTTACATTTTAATTAAAGGCAGCAGTGTGTGTGAACATCAGTATAAAAGGGTCAGTCATAGTCCCTTTATTTTTCAGTAGATTTTTTTGGGGGGTGGTATATCCTTTGTGATACAGATATTAAATCTAAAACCTGAAATGGCCATTATATCCTACAGTTCCCATTGTATCTTCCCTTTGTACTTTACTAAAGCCATGTGTATCCTATGAACAACTTAAAAAAACAAAAAAGCTACAGTATAAAAGGAAGCAAACTTTTAAAATAATAGAATTGCTCAGGTAAGTTTTGTCTGTCTCATCATTGCAGTAGGTCTAATTTGGAGCAATTTGAAGTACGGTTCAGTGTATTAGGAGTACTATTGACTGCAAGTGACAGAAACCACCTCAAATTGCTATTAGCGAAAAAGAGCAATATACTGGCTCAAGTAACTGCATAAGTGCACAAAAGTTATTATCTGTGTTCACTGTAGTACTGTTAATGACAGCACACAAATGAACCTCAGTATCCATTAATGTTTTTGTTTTTATTCTGATTCATCTTTATTTGTTCTGTTGACAATTTTATGTGGGTTCCTGTTGTTTCAGTGAAACCCAAAGCCATTTTGGGGTGTTTTTTTTTTTTGCGGTACACGGGCCTCTCCCGTTGTGGAGCGCAGGCTCAGCGGCCATGGCTCACGGGCCCAGCCACTCCGCGGCATGTGGGATCTTCCCGGACCGGGGCATGAACCTGCATCAGCAGGCGGACTCCCAACCACTGCGCCACCAGGGAAGCCCACCATTTTGGTTTTTAAAATAATATTTTTTTATTGAAGTATAGTTGATTTACCCATTAATATTATATATTAGTTAAATTAAGAGAAGGAGCATAGTGTCCACAGCAGGTGCTCAGGTCAGGCCAGCTGTGTGAACTTGGGCCAAGTTATTTAACCTATGAACCTCAGCTTCCTGGTCTGCAAAATGGGGATGATCTTATCTACCTCAGAGTTGCTGTGAGGATTAATTGATTTACATGGAAAGTACCTAGAATGGAGCCTGGCATGTAAGTGCCAAATAATATAAGTGCTTGCTAATCATGCTGTCACTGGTGCACTTTCTCAGCTGTTCTTGTGCATTCTCTGTCCATACCGTGGCAGGCTGTGCACCTGTGAGTTACATGTCCAAGATACTTAGGAAAGAAAAGCAGAAGGCAGGTATGATCCTGATTATTGTTATAAAAGATGCTTACAACACTCTAAGGTCTTTCTTTTTGGTAAGCACTTGTCTAAAAGCACTGTAGGTATATTCCCATTTCATCGTCACCAGGCCTCTGAGGTAGATAGATGTTATGCCTGTTTCACATTTGATGAAGCTGAGGCACAGAGAGGTTAAGTAGTATTAGGACAGTTGGTTTCTTATTGTTCTTAAAGTGCTGTACATATTTTTTTATCTCCACAAGGGAATTATTATATTGTTTTAAGTGAGCTTTTTAAAACGCTTGCTGATAGTAAGATCCAGCACTTCAAATGTGAAGTCATATCTCCACCAGTGATTACTAAGTATGTATTAAATTTGTTTACCTCATTTTCCCCAAATATGACCATCTAAAAACACCTGAAACTATCTTTGATCAAGGTTGTTATTCAAAGTAAAGTAATTGAGAGTGCTCCCCATAATATGAGAAGTCTTGCAAAGGGTCCAATCTAAGGCAGTTCCCTCTTTTCTGAGGGGTATAATTGAGGGAAAGGGGTCCTGTTGCCCTGAGTACAGACAGGCACGTACGTGATTTGTTAGTAATGGCAAATGTTCAGTGTTTGTTTGTTAGGAACTTTTGTACAAAGTAGTGGGTTTGGGAGAGGAGCTGGGGGAAGGACAGTGGCTTAAACCTTTTATTTGGTATACATCTATATATAGCTTCAAAATTTTTGTGTTATAATTTAAATTAATAAATGATATATATATATATACACACACACACCCCAGAGCCACCTACACGTATGTATTTTAGTTTTTTACTGAGATGTTTGCCTGTGTGATTTTCTCTAGAAATGGAGCATCCACAGTTGTCACGGCTATATTCGGAGGCATTCTCCAAAATGAGGTTAACTGCCTCATATGTGGGACAGAATCTAGAAAGTTTGATCCATTCCTAGGTAAGACATATTTGGCATATGGAGATATAATATTGTATTAAAATAATAACTGTAATGTTTCCTTTGAAAACTAAGACAGTAGAGAGATAAATCCTTAAAAATACATCAATTTTTGAAATTATTTTTTTGAGTGTGGTTATATGCCTTTAACAGTTGTTTTCCTGTTTCCTTTTAAGACCTTTCATTAGATATTCCAAGTCAGTTCAGAAATAAACGCTCTAAGAATCAAGAAAATGGACCAGTTTGTTCATTACGAGGTAAAGATACTTTGATGTTCCAGATTTTTTTCCCCCTTGAAATACCAAATAATTGTTGTAATTAATTTGTGTTATAACTTAACAAAAGTCAAACCTGAATGTCTCTTCTTGTACCAAAAAATTCTGTTTAGCAAGAATGCCTGCCAGAGATACTGACCTGCCAGGTGAAACATATTTCTCACCTTTCTCCTCTTTTTAAAACTAGTTTAAAATTGAAAGTTTGTAACAAAACTTTTTCTGATCTAATGAAATAGAATTTATTCTATGGATATTCCACTAGTAACCAGAGGAAGAAAGAACCTCAGAAAAGTTTTATAAATTATGGTGTCATTCACTCTTTTGTATGACTAATAATTTGAGAGCTCTCTTGATGACATAACTGTTGGCTAAGCCTGAGGCCTTGCTTTTAATTGCAAGATACAAATTCACATTTACTTTCAGAGATTTCTGAACAGATTTTTTCCTTGATGAGTATTAACTACTTTAGTCAAGGCAGAAGACCTGTCCTTGACCAACCACTAAAATGACTAATCGTTCTTTTTAGTCATAGAAAGAAGAAACTAGGATAGAAAAGAGAAAGAGGATTAGTATGTGTTCTGTCATTAAGTACCTCTATAGTGAAGGCAAATAAAGTTTCTACCCTGAATTACATGTTCACTAAAAGCTGTAGGGAGTACTGTCAAAAAGTTTTAGGTAGTATTGTCATAATGATTAATATACATATAATGTAAACTTTTCTTACAAAACAGAAGATTCTGTTGGTCTAAAACTATACTGTCCAATATGCAACCATGAAGTCACATGTGCCTATTAAAATCAATCAACGTGAAATTTCAAATTCCATTGCTCAGTTATACTAGCCATATTTAGAGTGCTCGGGAGCCACCTGGGGCCAGTGGCTACTGTAGTGGTCAGCACAGGTGCAGAACATTTCCACTGTTGCAGAAAGTTCTACTGGACGGTGCTGCTGTAGAAGCAAATTATCCTGTAAAATGGATATGAAAACACTCTGTAGATGCTTTTAGTTTGTTCTCCACCTATACAACAGTGTTGATTGTCTCTTTTGAACAGGAGTACAAAACAAATTTAAGGAAGCCCCATCCATGCCACTTCCCTCTAAAATATGTGGCTCTAGTATGTTCCTCTAAAACTGTTTTTGGCCTATTTGAGATTAAGAAAATATCACAGTATACTTGATAGCAAGTGTCTGTCAGATCATTTTCCCTTTATATTTATGGCATATGAATACAGGCTAACTTAAGCATAAAACAAATATTATTTGATCATTTAGAGGGGAAATCAGTGAAAGTTAAAGGAATTAGCCTCAAATTATATAATCTAAATTAGATTGACTTCATCTTAAAATTTCAATAAGAACACTAATAATATTAATGTAGTAAAACATACTGTTCCTTAATATATATATCTGGGTATCTATTTGAATCATAATTCCTCATGTTAAACAAAACCGTTAGTCCAGATGATTTTTGACTGATTGATTGGAAGACCCAGAGACACTCATTTGTTCAGGTTTCTTTCCTCCTTCCTTCAGTGCTGATTCCCCCACCCCTCCTGAATTGGTCATACATGGTTCTTATTGCCTCTGTAACATTTCACTTAAACTTAATGCCCTAATACTGAGAGATGTTCCTTTCTTGAGACCATCCAGGAGAGTGTATGACACAGCTTACTTAGGTGGTTGACGGGTACTATAAACGAGAATAGTGGCAAATGGAATTTGCCTCATATCCCAAGTAGTATTTTTCTTGCCTCCTTGAAATCTGATAAAGATCGGTATTAGCATCAGGGGGCCCAGACCATCCTGAGGTGTTGAGGGTTTGGCTAGAAACATGTTTCCTGTATTCTCAGCTGGCTTTCCTTTGAATTCTCAGACTTCATTTTGTTAAAGAGCTTACTGTCAGCTTTAGAATTTCTAAACCATGCAGTATCTGCAAAATGCAACAAAACGAGATTTTCAGATGATGCTGGTGGTTTTCAAGAAGGCATCTAGTAAAGGACCCAGAGGGCTAGAAAAATTTCCAGATGAAAAGGCAGCATATTTCAGAGACTTTCACAAGGTAACTGAACAGTACAACATCAAAAATATAACCAGGCTGCCTCGAGAGACAAAGAAGCACATGCAGTGGCAATTATCTTTCATGATGAAGCGTCAAAGACATTTGCCTGTGAGGGCTCAACTTCTGCTTAAGAATGAGGGAGAGGCTGGAGACAAGATGGTGGAGTAGAAGGACTTGAGCTCACCTCCTCTCACAAAAACACCGAATCACAACTAACTGCTGAACAACCATCAACAAAAAAGACTCGAACCTACCAAAAAGATATTCTACACCCAAAGACAAAGAAGAAGCCACAATGAGACGGTAGGAGGGGCACTTCTACAATATAATCAAATCCCATATCTGGCAGGTGGGTGACCTACAACCTGGAAAATAATTATATCGCAGAGATTCCCACAGGAGTGAGAGTTCTGAGCCCAATATCAGGCTTCCCAGCCTTGGGGTCTGGAATCAGGGGAAGGAGTCCCCAGAGCATTTGGATTTGAAGGCCAGGGGGGCTTGAGTGCAGGAGCTCCATAGGACTGGAGGAAACAGAGACTCCACTCTTGGAGGGCACACACAAGGTTTCACATGCACTGGGACCCAGGGCAAAGCAGTCATAGGAGCCTGGGTCAGACCTACCTGAGGGTCTTGGAAGGTCTCCTGGGGATGTGGGGTTTGACTGTGGCTCACTGTGGGGACAAGGACACTGGTGGCAGACGCCCCAGGGAATACTCAATTGGTGTGAGCTCTCCTGGAGGTCACCATTTTGGCAAAGAGACCTGACCCCACCCAACAGCCTACAGGCTTCAGTGCTGGCACACTTCAGGCCAACCAACCAACAGCCCCACCCGTCATCAGACAGGCTGCCTAAAGTCATCCAGAGCCAACAGCCACCTATAAATACACCTCCTGAGATGGCCCTGCCCACCAGAGGGACAAGACCCAGCTCCACCCACCAAAGGGCAGACACCAGTCCCTCCCACCAAGAAGCCTGCACAAGCCCCTGGACCAACCTCACCCACCAGGGGGCAGACACCAGAACCAAGAAGAATTACACTCCTGCAGCCTGGGGAATGGAGACCTCAAACACACAAAGTTAGATAAAATGACATCACAAAGAAATATGTTCCAGGTGAAAGAACAAGATAAAACCCCAGAAGAACAACTAAATGAAGTGGAGCTAGGCAATCTACTTAAAAAAAATTCAGAGTAATAACAGTAAAGTTGATCCAAGATCTCGGAAACAGAATGGAGGCACAGACCAAGAGGATACAAGGAATGTTTAACAAAGAGCTAGAAGCTTTAAAGAACAAACAAGATGAACAATACAATAACCTAAATGAAAAATACACTAGAAGGAATCAGTAGTAGAATAAATGAGGCAGAAGAACGAACAAGTGGGCTGGAAGACAGACTGGTGGAAATCACTGCTGTGGAACAGAATAAAGAAAGAAGAATGAAAAGAAATGAGGACAGTCTAAGAGACCTCCAGGATAACATTAAACATACCAACATTCGCATGATATGGGTCCCAGAAGGAGAACAGAGAAAGGGCCTGAGAAAATACTTGAAGAGAGATAATAGCCAAAAACTTCCCTAACATGGGAAAGGAAACACACAGTCAAGTCCAGGAAGTGCAGAGAATCCCATACAGGATAAACCCAAGGAGGAACACACCAAGACACATATTAATCAAATTGACAAAAATTAAAGACAAAAAGAAAATATTAAAAGCAGCAAGTGAAAAGCAACAAATAACATACAAGGGAATCCCCATACGGTTATCAGCTGATTTTTCAGCAGAAACTCTGCAGGCCAGAAGGGAGTGGCATGATATACTTAAAGTGATGAAGGGGAAAAACCTACAACCAAGAATACTCAACCCAGCAGTGCTCTCGTTCATATTCAACAGAGAAATCAAAAGCTTTACAGACAAGCAAAAGCTAAGAGAATTCAGCACCACCAGTTTTACATGACAAATGCGAAGGGAACTTCTCTAGGTGGAAAAGGCCACAGCTAGAAATTTATGAATGGGAAAGCTCACCAATAAAGGTAAACATATAGTAAGGGTAGGAAATCATCAAACCACAAATGATATCAAAATCAGCAATTGTGAGGAGAGTACAAATGCATTTGAAATTAAGAGACCAGCAACTTAATCCTGTGTGTGTGTGTGTGTGTGTGTGTGTGTGTGTGTATATATATATATATATATATATATATATATATAGACTGTTATATCAAAACCTCAATGTAGCTGCAAACCAAAAATCTATAACAGACACACGAAAAAGAAAAAGCAGTCCAAACACAACACTAAAGATAGTCATCAAATCACAAGAGAACAAAAGAGGAAGGGAAGAAAAAAGACCTACAAAAACAAATCCAAAACAATTAACAAAATGGCAATAAGAACATACTGATAATTACCTTAAACATAAACAGATTAAATGCTCAAACCAAAAGACATAGATTGGCTGAATAGATACAAAAACAAGACCCATATATAAAAACAAGACCCATATATATGCTGTCCACAAAAGACCCACTTCAAATCTAGGGACACATACAGACTGAAAGTGAGGACATGGAAAAAGCTATTCCATGCAAATGGAAATCAAAAGAAAGCTGGAGTAGCAATACTCATATCAGACAAAATAGACTTTAAAACACTGTTACAAGAGACAAAGAAGGACATTATAAAATGATCAAGGAATCAATCCAAGAAGATATAACAATTGTAAATATATATATATATATGCACTCAACATAGGAGCACCTCAATATATAAGGCAAATGCTAATAGCCATAAAAGGAGAAATCAACAGTAACACAATAATAGTGGGGGACTTTAACTCCCCACTTACATCAATGGACAGATCATGCAGACAAAAAATAAATAAGGAAACACAGGTCTTAAATGACACATTAGACCAGATG